TCATGCAAAACACTTCCATAGTAGTCCTGTTGTGAAAAACTAAGTATATTTCCCTTAATCCTGTCCTACCCCCCATTTATTCTATTCTCTCTTTTGACCCTGTCCCTCCTCAGAAGTGTTTGCTTTTGATTATCCCCTCCTCCATTCTGCCTTCCCCTCTATCAACCCCCTGCTCTCTTGTCCCCTTCCGCCCTTATTTTCCTGTAGGGTAAGATAGATTTCCATACCCCATTGTGTATGTCATTCCCTCCTTAAGCCAAATCCTATGAGAATAAGATTCTCTCATTCCCTCTCACCTTCCCCCATTTCCCCTCCACTTAAAACCCTTTTCTTGTCTGTTTCGTATGAGATAATTTACTCCATTCTACTTTTCCTTTTCTCCTTCTCTCAGTATAATCCTCTCTCACCCCTTAGTTTTATTTTCCAGATATCACCCCTTCATCTTCAACTCACCCTGTGCCCTCTATCTATGTACACATACATATAATTTTTTTCCCCTCCCACTACCCTAATACTGACAAAGGACTCATGAGTTACAAATATCATCTTTCCATGCAGGAATGTAAGCAGTTCAGCCTTAATAAGTCTCTTATGATTTCTCTTTCCTGTTTACCTCTTCCATGTTTCACTTGAGTCTTGTATTTGAAAGTCAGATTTTCTATTCAGCTCTGGTCTTTTCCTCAGGAATGCTTGAAAGTCCCCTATTTCATTGAATGACTATTTTTTACCCTGAAGGATTGTACTCAGTTTTGCTGGATAGGTGATTCTTGGTTATAGTCCTATCTCCTTTGCCCTCCGGAATATTATATTCCATGCCCTGTGGTCCCTTAATGTAGAAGCTGCTAAATCTTGTGTTATCCTGATCATGTTTCCACAATACTTGAATTGTTTCTTTCTGGCTGCTTGTAATATTTTCTCCTTGACCTGGAAACTCTGGAATTTGGCTGTAGTATTCCTAGGAGTTTTCCTTTGGGGATCTCTTTCAGGAGGTGATTGGTGGATTCTTTCATTCTATTTTGCCCTCTGGTTCTGAAATATCAGGGCAGTTTTCCTTGATAATTTCTTGAAAGATGATGTCTAGACTCTTTTTTTTGATCTGGCTTTCAGATAGTCCTATAATTTTTAAGTTTTATCTCCTGGATCTATTTTCCAGGTCAGTTGTTTTTCCAGTGAAATATTTCACATTCTCTTCTATTTTTTCATTCTTTTGGATTAGTGTTACAGTGCCTTTATTTCTCAAATTGTCACTAGCTTCCAATTTCTCCATTCTAATTTTTAAGGAAGTATTTTCTTCAGTAAGCTTTTGGACTTCCTTTTCCATTTGGCCAATTTTGCTTTTTAGGGCATTCTTCTCCTCATTGGCTTTTTGGACCTCTTTTGCCATTTGGGTTAGGCTATTTTTTAAGGTGTTATTTTCTTCAGTATTTTTTTGGGGGGTCTCCTTTAGCATCACTCTTAGTTTTTCCTCTACTTCTCTTACTTGCTTCTCAAAATCCTTTTTGAGCTCTTCCATGGCCTAGGACCAATTCATATTTTTCTTGAAGGCTTTGGATGTAGGAGCTTTGGCTTTGTTGTCTTCCTCTGGTTGTACATTTTGATCTTCTTTTTCACCAGAGTAAGATAATATAGTCTGACTCTTTTTGTGCTGCTTGCTCATGATCCTGGCCAGTTACTTGAGTTATAAACTCTTTGCTAAGGTAGGAGTCTGTTTCCAGTGTGGAGAATTTACTGTCCCAAGCTTCAGGGGTTTTGTGCAGCTGTTTTCAGAGATACTTCTAGGGACCTGTAAATTTTCAGTTCTTGCAAGGTGCTATGATCAAGGGTGAGGTGTTTCCTACTCTCCTGGCCTGTGCTCTGGTCTATGAGTGACCACAAGTAGTCTTTTCTGTCTTGGAACTGTGAGGGTTTTCTCTCCACAGCCACTACAAGGTCCACCACACCAGTGCTCCTCCTTGCCCCAGGACTTCCCCTCAGAACTGTGACTCACATCCAAGCACAAAGCAGAAGAATTCTGCACCAGCAGAGAGATCCCTGCAATCCCCTTCTGATCAGCCACCAGGTTCCCTCTCAGTCTGTGGCCTAGAAGCTCAGGAGGCAGCCCCTGCCTTGGGCAGTGCTCAGCAAATGGAGCTGGGACTCTTCACTCCTCTCTCACCACCGCAGAAACAGACTTTTCCCACTGACCTTCTAAGTTGTCTTTGGCATTCGTGCATTGAGAAGTCTGGAAACTGCCACAGCTGCCCGCGATTCAGTCCTCTGAGGCCTGCTCCAGGTTTGCTACGGCCTGCGTGCCCACACTGAACTGTGCTCCTCTAGCCGCCTGGCACGATATACCTTTCTGATCAACCATCCAGGTTGTCTTGGGCTGGAAATTTGTTTCACTCTGTCTTTTTGTGGGTTTTTACTTTAGAATTTGTTTAGAGCCACTTTTTATAGGTATTTGGAGGGGTTTGGGGGAGAGCTCAAGCAAGTCACTGCTTTTACTCCGCCATCTTGGCTCTGCCCATCCAGTCTCATATGTGGAACTAACTAGATGTCCTGTATAGACATCCTAAACTGATTATGTCTAAAACTGAACTCATTATCTTTCCCCTACTCTCTCATCCTCCATATCTAGTCTGTTGCCAGGTCTTGTTGATTCTTCCAAGGCAGCATCTTTTGTATACCTAGGGATGTGCTGGAACCAGTGCTAACCGATTTTTAAAGTTTCAGTGTGAGCATTGCACCTCAGAAATGCAGTCACTACAAATCAAGGCTTGATGTATTGTTTTGTTGATTGCCTAGACTTAAGAAAGTGCTTAAAATGAAGATTGAACTTAAAAATATATGTGCATTAATTTTACCCCCTCCTCAGCACCATTGTTAAATATTTACCAACATACCTCTATATTGCTCTAAAATATTGCTTGAGCTCAGTAGGAGTACTGCAGAAGACTCAGGGAATGAAGTCATCACCAGACTGCAGGCCTGGTGACTGGAAGCTAATAATGATAATAATAGCTAGAACTTGTACAGTACTTTAAGGTTTGCAAAGTACTTTATATCCATTTTCTCATTTGAGCTTCACAATACCCCCTTATATATACACCCCTTTTCTCTCCTCTAACACTGCCACTACCCTAGTGCAGGCCTTCTTCATTTCACTTATGGTTGGTCTCTGTGTTTCAAATTTCTCCCTACTTCAGTCCATCTTTCTGGCAAAACGATATTCCTAAAGCACAGGTCTGAGTGTGTCACCCCCAATTAAGTAAACTCCAGTGGATCCCTTTTATGTCCTAGATCAAATAGGAAGTCATCTGTTTGGCTTTTAAAGTTCTTTGTAATTGGGCCCCTTACTATTTTTTCAGACTTCTTACACCTTACTCCCCTCCATGTACTTTACAATCCATTGACACCATGTTGTTCCTCTCACATAACAGGCTCTGGGCATTTTCACAGGCTAACCCCCATGCCTAGAACTTTCCCTCCTGGCTTCCTTCAAGTTGCGGCTAAAACCCCACCTTCTGCAAAAAGGCTTTCCCAATCCCCTTTCCCAGTGCCTTCTCTCTAAGACTATTTCCAATTTGTCCTTTATGTATATTATTTGTACACAGTCATTTGCATATTGTCTGCCCCATTAGACTGTGAACTCCTTGAAAACAGAGACTATTTTTGCCTTTCTTTATATACTCCAGTGATTAGCACAATGCCTAGCACATAGTAAGCACTATATAAATGTTAATAATAATAACGATTATTATTATTATTATTGTTAGAAGCTGCATAGATGCTTGTTGGTTTGATTTGACTCAGGTAATTACTACCCATGTGATTTTAGGCAAGTTACTTAATTTTTCTGGGTCTCAGTTTCCTCATTTGTAAAATGTTAAGGTTAGTCCTTAGTTTTCTCATCTGTAAAATGAGCTGGAGAAGGAAATGGCAAACCACTCCAGTGTCTTTGCCAAGAAAACTACAAACGGAGTTATGAAGAGTCAGACATGACTGAAAAACAACTGAACAACGAAGGTTAGCCCAGATGGCCTCTAATGTTTCTTCCAGTTCTAGATCAAAGATTCTTTGATCCTCTGCTATAAATTCCCATTAGGATATTAGAAAGTTTTATGATGTTCCTTGTCTGAATTTTGCTGTACAAGACAACTATGATCAGCTAATCCATTTCCACCTAATAGAACTGAATGGTAATAACTAGTATTTATGTAGTGCCATAAGTTTTACAAAGCACTACATATGTGTATGTACATATATATATACAATGTAAACAAATAATCTCATTTTATTCTCACAAAAATCTTGGGAGATAAGTGCTAATATCATCTGCATTTTACAGATGACAAATCTGAGGTAGACAGAGGTTAAATGGCTTACCCAGGGTCATATAGCTAGTGTCTGAGACAAAATTTGAACTTAGGTCTTCCTGACTAGTGCTTTATCTGTTGTACTACTTAGCTGCCAGGGTAGAAGAGAAAATAAGCTTAAACTGTGATGTGGGGGATTTAAGAAGAATTTTCTGGTAATAAGAGTTGTTATATGCTAGAATTAAGTTTCTGAAAGAGATTGTAGGATCTCCTTTGGCTGTCTTCACAAACAATATTTATTCCCCCATCTCTCCATCTAAATTCCACCCATCCATCATTTAAGGCCCTGCTGAAATGCCGTCTCTTCCGTAAACCCTTCCATACCTGAAGAACACATATATTGTGTTTTGTGTTAAGTTGTTTTTGTTGTCTTACTTTCTTGTTATTATTCTTGTCTTACTTTCCCTGCTATATTACCCAGTGTTATAGGAACCAGTTAAACACGTATTTCTGTAAATAATTATCTGCTTGGCAGGGATTAATTAATTTCTTTACCCTCCATTTTTTCACACAAATTGCAATTTCCTGAAGACAGGTACCTGAGTGATATTCATCTTTGTATAGCATCCAGTAAATGGTTGTTGAACCCATTGAATGATTATTATCCTCATTTACTAGGTTCTGTTTCTGGTTGTTTCTCTGTAGGTATCATGGCCATCCTGTTTTCTGGTATCGTAATGTCTCATTATACACACCATAATCTTTCCCCAGTTACACAGATACTAATGCAGCAAACCCTACGAACTGTTGCCTTCATGTGTGGTAAGTTGCATGTTTGTGGTGTGGATTTATTCATTAAAGTGCTAGCTCTTTGGGGCAGTTACTTTGTAATCTGTCATTCACTCAGCAGGCATTTATTAAACCTCTGCTAAATGCCAGTTACTGTGCTAGGTGCTGGGAGCAAATGCAAAGAATGAAATAATCCCAGATGTTATGTTCTAATGGGAAGACACACACACACATAAACATATTCAGAATAAGTAGTAAAGGCTTCATCTGGAAGGTAAGACTTGAGCTCTTGAAGGAAGAGAGTAATTCTTTGTGGTAGAGGTGAGAATGGAGTGTATTAAAGGAGTGAGGGGTGACTACTGTGAAGGCATGGAGCAATGTGTGTGAGGAAGAAAAAGTAGGCCAATTTGGCTGGATCCCAAAGTGTGGGAGAGGAAGTAATGTCCAGTGAAATAGGAAAGAAGCTTGGAGCCAGGTTGTAAAGAGCTTAAAAGCTAAACTGAAGGGGTTTATGTTTTAGCCTAGAGGCAATGTGTGTGTGGGGGTGGGGAGGGAGAGAGACATGGGACTCCACTAGAAGCTTCCTTAAGCTCAGATCCTTTCTTTCTTATGCTCAGATCTGATGATGTCACTCCCCTACTCAAGGACAAGGAAAATCATTTTGACATCAGTGGTTTGGTTGGACTTATGTGGGGAGAGATTTGAAAGAGGAGGGCTAATCAGGATGTTGTGTAAAAGTTGAGGTAAAAGAAGATAAAGGCTTGAACTAAAGCAGCAGCTGTATGAGTGGAAAGAATCATTTGCAAGAGATATAGAGGTAGAAATGGCAAGATTTGGCAACTCATTGGATGTGTTATGAAGGGGAATAACGGTTGAGGATGATGCTTATGTTTTTAACCTGGGAGAATGGAAAGCTGTTGGTTTCTTTGACAGAAATAGTAGATTTCAGAAGAGGGGAAGGTTTGGGTAGAAAGATAATGAGTTCAGTTTTGGATATGTTGAAATTGAGATATCTCTGGGACATCCAATCTGAAATGTCTAATAAGCAATTAGTGGTACAGGATAGAAACCCAAGAGAAACTGGGGCTGCATATATGGATGTTAGAGTCATTGGCATAGAGATGGTAATTAAATCTCTAGGAGTTGATAAGGTCACAAAGAAACCGAGTACAGAAAGCAGAGTAGAAGTATAGAACAGAACTTTGAGATACACCTAGGTAGTTTGCATTATATGGATGATGAACAAGAAAAGGAGATGGAGAAAGTGCAGACAGGTAGGAGGAAGAGAACAGAGAGAGTGTATGTGTGTATCTAGGAGGAGACGGTGGTCAGAAGTGTTGAATGCAGCACAGATGGTTCAAAAAGGACTTAGAAAAGTCCATCAGATTTATCAATGAAGAAATCTTCTGCAGTCTTAGAGAGAGCAGTTGAGTAATGAGGTAAGAAGCCAGATTGCAAGGGTTGAGGAGTGAGAGGAAAGGAAGTGGTGGCTGCAAAGGTAGACAGCTTCATGTAGGCATTTGTCCAAGAAAGGGAGGAGAGATGATAACCTATATCATGGTAATATCTAGTGAAAGTTTTTTAAGGATAGGGGAATTTTAGCCATGTTTGGAGGCAATAGGGAAGGAGTTAATAGAAAGGGAGAGGCTGAACTTTTGAGAGGGAGGGGATGATTGAGGTTGTAATCTGCTGGAGAAGATAGGAGGGTTTGAGATCAAGTGCACATATAGAGGGGGTGGCCTTGGCAAGGAGAAAAACCACCGCTTTGTGAGACCAGGAAGAACTTGAAAAATGGGGATAATGTCGAAGGGTTTTAGATGAAAAGGAAGGAAAGAGAGGGGTTTTCTCAGTAAAACTGAGGAGATACAGGGATGTGTGGGGTTCTTAAAGAGGAAAGAGAAGTTTTAAAATAGTTCCTATGGGGAATGAGATAGGTAATTAATACAGAAGGAATAAAAAGACTGCCTTATTGCAGTGAGGGCCCAGTTGACACTGGATAGCATAAATTTAAAATATCCAGCACAATTGTGAGATTTTTTCCAGCTGTGTTCAGCAGTCCATGAGTAAGAATAGAGAAGGAAGATGGTAGAAGTACTCTGGAGCTGATGTTTGTCAATCAATGAGCGGCAGTAGACGGGGGCAGGGGATTTAAGTACAAAGAATAGTGTAAAATTGAAATGTCTAACAATAGAGTCCAGATTGTATAGGGAGAAAAGTGAAGTCAAAGCAATGGGGAGAGAAAAGAATAAGCATTTATTAAGTGCCTACTATGTGCCAGGCATTGTGCTAGGAGCTTTTACAAATATTACTTCATTTGATCCTCACAACAATGGAGGGTAAGTGCTATTATTATTCCCCTTTTATAGTTGAGGAAACCGAGGCAGATAGAGGGTAAGTGACTTGCCCAGGGTCATACAGCTAGTAAGTGTTTGAGTCTGGATTTGAACTCAGGTCTTCCCGACTTCAGGCCTAGTATTCTATCTACTTTGTTACTTAGCTACCTTGAGAATGACCAGGGAAAATGCTTAGGGGAAGAAAGGATTAGAATTCTTGATGAAGGCAAAGAATAGGTTTAAGATCGATGAGGAATAGGGAGAAATTATGGTCAGATACTGAAAGGTCAGAGTTTCTAGTTAAATAACATTTGTGGGTAATGACATTAAATATGTGACCATCCTCATATGAGGCTAAAGGTAGAGTGAAGGAATAAAGTATAGTATTTAAGAGGTCTGAAGAACTTCAAGGAGTTAGTGTAAATACTGAAGTCTCTTAGCGTAAGGGCAGAACATCGAAAGGAACGGAAGATGGTGCTTAACATGAGAAAGGAGGAAGAATGAGGTGAGTTTCAGTGTATACCACAGTCACCATGATTTGAATTGGATCGCTATTGTATTGATTGGCGGAGGATTGAATTAAATTAACCTGTTACCTAAAAAATGTTGTAATGAATGTTTTCTGTAATGAAGGCAGTTCTTTTGAAGATCTAAAATTGAGAATCGTTATAAATGCTCAACTAATTTGTTACATAAGAGGTATACATCAGAAGTATATTTGTGAGAATCCTATTTTGAGTCAGGTTTACCAGTGTGACTTTCTTCTGAGCGTTTGAGTCTGAGGAAGCCCACATTAGCTCATGGCATAATTATGCTTTTTGTGCCCCCTTTTACATGTAGGAGAACAAAAATATTTTACTAATTGCTCTTGATTTTAATTCAGTGAACAACAATTTTCAATAAAATAGCAGCTTTCTGAGCATAAGAACCTGAGCCTTTAAGTGGAACTGCCCTGAGTAATAATAGAGAAACAACCAAACCGATGTTCATGTATTTTAATTGCCATATAATTTTCTTTTTGGCTCTTAAATTTTTTGACTGTTCTTTTTGAATACCTAGTTAATTCATTTCTAGACTTCGATAATTTTAGGAATAAATACGTTAGAACTCTGAAAAGTCTATTTCTTTCTTTTTTTTTTAGCTTTTTGGTGAGGCAGTGGGGGTTAAGTGACTTGCCCAGGGTCACGCAACTAGTAGGTGTCAAGTGTCTGAGGCCTGATTTGAACTGAGGTCCTCCTGACTCCAAGGCCAGAGCTCTATCCACTGTGCCACCTAGCTGCAGTATATTTCTTAAATTAAAAGATGTTCAACTGATTTCGCCCTGAAAGTAAAGAGGAATTGGTCTCTCTTGCCAGTAGAATGAAGCCAAGAGTTGTAAATGTAGCCATTTCTGTTAATACTATTGAATTTGGACATACTTTGTCATTTTTAGTCTAGAATTCCACAAGTTGAACTGTTACTTGTACATATGTTATGGGTTGTACCTGTAGCCATGGGCCTGGATTTTTGCCACTCTGTTGCAATCAAGGGCCTTGCTGATCACAATGTTCAGTAAGTTGACAGATTCATATATATAGTCATTGTTTTTCCTGGGTTTATATAGTGCCAGTTTTTTATGCACATTTAGACAATTAATCCATCAAATTGGAATATTCTGGGTGGGAAATACATTCTTCTTGTGTATGTGTGTTTAGTAGATTGGAGTTTGAATTGGTGAAGAAGGGAATGATAAGCAGAAATTTATCTAAGGTATTGACTGCAATCTCTATTAAAATTCTGCTTCAAGGCCTCAGTATAATGTTGAGTGAGACTTTGGTTTTACAAAGACTGTGTCAGTGGGGTGCAAGGTCTGGCAGGAACCATCTAGGTGGGAAGCTTCTCATAATAAGACCAGCAGTGGTCACTGTATCTATAGTTTTGAGGGCCATCCTAACCAAGTTCAGAGAAGGGCATCACCAAGAAGCTTGGCTATAGCAGTTTAGTAAACCAATTAAAAACATCCTTTTTTTAGGGAAGAAGGGAAAAAAGAATTGCAATCTGTATCTGTGGAAGAAATACTCAGGCTGATAAAATTAGAGATCATCACAGAGTGACGTAAGGAAGAACATGTTCAGTGATAAACTGTTGATTTTATCCTAATCAGAGGTTATTATCCTACTTCAAGGTCATTATGTTCAGTGACTTAACTATTTAATGCTGTTTTGAAAAAGTTAGTTGGAGTTGAGTAATTTTTTGTTTATTTCAGAAACATGTGTGTTCGCATTTCTTGGCCTGTCCATTTTTAGTTTTCCTCACAAGTTTGAAATTTCCTTTGTCATCTGGTGCATAGTAAGTATTTTTCCTTGCTCTTTCTTTTTTATATTTCTTAGTTACAAGTAAACAAGTATATAATCTTGTTTTATATAGCTGCTTGCCATTTTTCTTTTAAAGAAAAAAATCTTTAAGGATGGTTGGTATTCTGGACTATTTAAAAATGGGCAAATAGAAATCATTTAATAAGAAAAATCTAGACTCCTCTTCTGGCATACAAGCATCATAATAACTATTCACATTTCTATAGCAGTTTAATTTTACAAAGCATTTTTCTCGAAACTGTTCTTAGTAGTCGGCAAGGATATTATCATTACCATTTGTAAAATGAGGAGATGGCCTCAGAGAGGTGAAAAGGACTTTCTCAGCATTCACATAGCTAGTCAATAATCAGAGCTAAGATGTAAATAGTAACTTGAAGGCCTTAAGTAACTAGATCTTAATATATGTTTGTTGAATTAAATTATTGAATATCCTTATGTAAAATCTAAATATCCTAAAATGTACTTGGGGGTAGGAGAGGAGGAAATCTTAAAAAGATAGCTGCTACTTTAATCTCATTCCATCCACGAAGAGCAAAACTTGCTTGGTAGTATAAGGAAATTTGGTATATTGGAAATATACTTGAAATAAAAGATTCAGGGTTTAAACTTAAGCTCTGCCACTCACTGTCACTGTCACCTTGGACAAGTATATTCCCCCTTTCTGGGCCTCAGTATCCTGTAAATAAGGCAGTTAAACTAGATGATCTCTTAGTTCCTTTTCAATTCTAAGGTTATTTGATTCTGGTAGTTCTGTGTTTGTAATAATGTGGTTCACGACATACCACCTAGAACCCTCAGTACATGTTCCTTGCTTTTTTATAGGTATCAGTTGGTATTTCCCCTAGCAAATTAGGCCATGCATTTCTCTTGAAAGTTAGCTTTTGATAAAAACAAGGAGTAAAATTAAGCTAATGAATTATCCTAAGAATTCATCTAAGTGTACTTCAGGATATTTAGCCTCTACAGGAGGATATTTTTTAGTTAAGATCACTGTCTTTGAGTTCAGTTAGCCACTGTATGCATAAGTGAGCAGTGGCAAATTACTAGGCAAGATGCTTAGTTTTATAATGTTAATTCATTGGTTTTATGACATTTGTTGGACACTTAAAAGGTATTTGCACATCATTCAATCATTAAATATTTATTGAGTATGTACTATGTGCCAGGCATTGTGCTAAGGACTGGGGATGCAAATAAGAAAAAGAAAGACAGTCTCTGCCCTCAAGGAGCTTACAATCTAATGGGGGAAGACTATACACAAAAGGAAGCTGAAAAGGGAGTGGAGGGAGATGTCAGAAGTACCTTCTTAGAGTCATGATGTTTCTGGAGTTGAAACCAAGCACAACAGTTCTTGAGAAATGAAGACTTGCAAATTCTGACCCCTCAGTAAAGGTAGGCATTGGCAGAAGTTTTTTGTTCTACCCTCCAGTCAGAATGGAAAAGAAACTGAGGCTGCTGAGGGGGTGATGAAACAGCTGAAGCAGTCTCCATGCTTCAGATTTCTGAATCTGGCTTATCTTGGGGAAAGCCTAATGTTTGTGATGTAAGCACAGCAGCTTATGGACAGCACCAGTCGTCTGACTTTTAGACCTTCCTTGTGGAGCTTAGACCTGTTTGGAAGTGGAAACAATAACTTATTTCTCCCCCAGGGCTCTGCCATTAAGAAAATTAGTCCCATTAGTGGGTATCCCCTGTAGGAGCTAGACTGGCTACCAGATTAATCTTTGGATACTTCAGAATGCTCTTTTGGCTTTCAATTCTGTTGTCATTAATAAAATAAAAACTATTAACTAATATCCGTGTTTTATATAAACATCTTCTAAAATTTATTTTAATATTTCTTATCCTTTTTCAGAAACATAGGAGACTACAAACCTTGTTTTAGATAATGCTAATTATGATGCTGGCTAATATTGTATAGTTGGTGTCTACTATTACAAAGAAGTTATGTTTATGATGGGTGTGCACTAGGAGCTGTGTTAACTGCCAGCAAGTTACAGCTTGAAGCAGGTATCATTTTGAATGGAGACTTAGACGGTTTTCTTGCTTCTTACACAGGTACTTGTGCTGTTTGGCAGAGCTGTGAACATTTTTCCATTGTCCTACCTCCTAAATTTCTTCCGTGATCATAAAATCACCCCCAAAATGATGTTTATTATGTGGTTTAGTGGTAAGTTGAACCTCCTTTAAGAAGAAAGTTGAAAGAACAATATTATTTATATATGTTACATGAGGTGCTGATATAATTTTCTTTTAAATAAACTTCTAACTGTGTTTTCTAAATTGAAGAAACATTCATTCTCTCAAATTAAAATATTTAACGACTAGAACTAAGGTATGATAGAGCATATCATACTAGATTTTAATTACACTAATAACAGCTTACATTTATGTACTACTTTTTAATTTGCAAAGCACTTTTTTCACAACTCCCCAAAATAGGTATTGTAAATTTTATCCCCATGTTATAGATAAGGAAGCTAAGGCTCAGAGTGATGAAGTGACTTGTGGTTATACAGTTTGTACTTTTCACTTTATAAAGTTCTTGACAACAAATGCTTGCCTGGGCCACGTGAACATTTTATTCATTATTTAGTAACGGTCTACTCTTAAGGAATATTTCCCAATGCTCTAGGTCCCTATAAAGTTAATAAGTTTCTATAAACTACTCTATCTATGTGGCTTTTCATTTAAATACTGTAATTCACAAATATCTCTGTTTAACTCAGTGTAGGAACATTTCTTCTGAAGTTGTTCCCTCTCTGCCTACGTAATTCAAGTCTATAAATCTGCCCCAAAGTAATGCAATCTTACATTTCAAAAGACTGCAAGAAAATTTGAAAGGGGATACTATATTCTCTTACAAAATATCTATTAATATCAATTTGTTTTATAGATGAAAAACCAAAAATTTGCTTTTTACCAACTGCCATTTGGGGGTGGATCATTATAATGATTTATTTTGAGGAAGTACATTAAGAATCTGATATATTTCTCTGAATCTTGAACTTTACTTTGGTTATGAGTACTGGTGGTAGAAAACTTCTGTAGAAATGTATTTGTTGTATTTAGTCTTTTTTGGCCAGGCAGTGGGGTGAAGTCACTTGCCCAGGGTCACACAGCTAGTGTCAAGTGTCAAGTGATTTGAACTCTGGTCTTCCTGAATCTAGGGCCGGTGCTTTATCCACCGCGCCACTGAGCTGCCCCTATTTGTTGTATTTTGAAATAGTTTGAAAATGCTAATAACTCTGCTGATGACCAGAGGCAGCTGGTGTCTGAATAGATAGCACTGGGCCTGGAATTAGGAAGACCTGAGCTCCAGTCTGGCCTCAAACACTTGCTAGCTTTGTGACCATGGGCAAGTCACTGAACCTCAGTTTGCCTAAGTTTCCTCAACTCAAAGATGGAGATAATCATACCTATCTCATAGGGTTGTTATGAGGATCAAATGAAATAATTTTTTTAAAAGCACTTAGCACAGTGCTTGGCACATAGTAGGCACGATGTAAATGCTTATTGCTTCTCTCCATCTTGATTAGAACTTAGAAAAACAAATATTAGAGTCTCTATACTGGCTAGTAAATTTCATATAGAGAAATAACAGTTTACATTTGTATATTGCTTTATAGCTGACAAAGCACTTTATATAATTTGACTTGATCCTTGAAAATCCTTTTGGGCATTCAGGGCAGGTATCATAGCCATTTTACAAATGAAGAAGCTGCTTATACTCCAGTTTGTGTAAAATTTAAAAATGTGTGATAGGAAGTGAGATGAAATAAATTTGGAATGGTAAAGAATAATTATTTCAGAGGACTGATGGTAAAGGATATCTCCCATCTCTTTGGAATGAAACATACATTTCCACATGTGGCTAATGGGCAGTGATGCCTGAGTTTAATTTTTTTTTAATGTTTATTTATTTTTGGTTAAATTTTGAGTTCAAAGCTGTTTTGCTCCCTCTCTCTCAACCCTTCACTAGGAAAGGCCAACATTTGATACAGATATTTATGTGAAACTATACAACACATACTTCCTTGTATCTGTTCTTTCTCTGTAAGTGGATAGCATCTTCCTTCATTGGTCCTTTGTAGTTGATTTGAATATTCATATAACTCAGAATAGCTTAATCATTCACAGTTACTCTTTGAACAATATTGCTCTTATTGTATACAACATTCTCTTGGTTCTGCTCAATTCAGTCTTCATTATTTCATGCAAATCTTTCCATGTTTTTCTAAAATCAACCTGCTCATCATTTCTTACAGCACAGTAGTATTCCATCACAGTCAAGTCTAATTTACTTTTGATAACTGCCTCCCTAATCTGTACAGCCTTCTAAAAACTCCTTCCCTAAAAATCCCCTTGCCCTCCTATTTATTAATCCATACACCCTTCTATGAGTCTCTCTCTTATCCTATCCCTTTGCCTTCCTGTTGCTTTGCAAGTTAAGAAGATTTTTATACCCTTCTACGTGTATTTATTATTCCCTCTTTAAACCAGTTCCCATGAGAATAAGGTTCCCACATTACCTGCCCTCCATCTCATCTTCCATTCCACTATAGCAGTTCTTCCATTCACTCCTCTTTTGTATGAGATAATTTGCTTTATTTTACCTCTCTCTACCCAATTTACTTTTTTAGGATCTTCCCATCATAATTCAACCCCAAACCTTCTATCTATGAATACTCTTTCAAACTACATTAATAATAATCATAATAATCATAATAATAACATTCTTAAGAGTTACAAATATTATTTTCTCATAAAAGAAATAAAGTTTAACCTTTTAAATCACTTGTAACTAGTCTTTCATGTTTACCTTCTTATGTTTCTCCTGATTCTTGTAAGTCAGTTTTTGTGTTCAGTTCTGATCTTTTCCTCAAGATTACCTTAGAATCCTTTAGTTCGTTAAATATGTATTTTTTTTTCCCTTGCAGGATTACACTCAAGTTTGCTGAGTAAGATATTTTTGGTTGCAAATTCAGCTTCTTTCTTCTTTGGAACATTATATTCTATGCCCTTTGGTCTTTTAATGTAGAAGCTGGTAAATATTGTGTTATCCTGACTGTAGCTCCACAATATTTAAATTGTTTCTTTCTAGTTGCTTGTAATATTTTCTCCTTGACCTGGGAGCTTTGCAACTTAGCTACACTATTTCTGTGAGTTTTCATTTTGAGATGTCTTTCAGGTGGTAATTGGTAGATTTTTTCAATTGCTATTTTATCCTCTAATTCTAAAACTTCAGGGCAATATTTCATAATAATTTCTTGAAGTGTAGTGTCTAGATTCTTTTTTTTTTAAATCTTAACTTTTTTTTCCCCAACAGTTCTTATATCATCTCTCCTTGATCTGTTTTCCAGGTCAGTTCTTTTTCTAATGAGATGTTTTATGTTGTCTTCTATTTTTTCATTCTTTTGGTTTTATTATTTCTTGATGTCTTATGAAGCCATTAGCTTTTCCTTGCCCAATTCTAATTTCGGTAAGTTTTTGGATCCCTTTCTCCAGTTGGTTGACTTTCTTTTCATAGTTTTCTTGATTTTCTTGCATTACTCATTTTTCTTCTCAGTTTTCTCTCAATCTCTCTTACTTTTTAAGCTCTTCTAAGAGCTCCTCTAAGCTCTTCCAAGAATTCTTTTTTTGGGCCTGACCATTTTACATTTTTCTTTGAAGATTTACAAGTAGCTGTTTAGACTACATCATCATCTTCTTCTAAGTTTGAACCCTGATCTTCTCTATCACTATATTAGCTACCTATGTTCAGGTTCTTTCTCTGTTGTTTACTCATTTTTTTTAAAGTCCTGTTTCTTGGCTTTATGTTAGGGCTGGTCTCTGCTTTCCAAGTATGAGGGATAATGTCTCAGGCTTCAGATTTTTTGTGCTGTTATTTTCTGAGTTCTATCTGGAGGGGCTTTGACTTTTTGGTTCTTCTAGTGTTCTATAATTCAAAGCCAGGTGTGATTACTGCTCTTTTGGCTCACACCTTAATCTACGAGTGATGTCAGGTATTCCTCTCTGTCCCTGAGTGTGCCCAGCACTGGCTGCCACAAACGCTCTCACTCCCTGTGGTTCCTTAGGCAGCTGCAAGCATCAGATTGCTCTTAGGAACTCCACTCTCTTACAAGTGACCGCAACCAGCAAGGCCCTGCCCCTCTGCAACCACACTCATTGGTGTGTGCTTACTCTTCCTTGCCTGCAGCCACAGCCTGGGACTTGCAGAGGCCTCCTTAGTCTTCCCCTGATCAGCCTCCAGATCCCTACAGTGTGGGGCAAAAGTTCTTTAAACTGAGGGGGCAGTACATCTGTCCCCAGAGCTTGCTACTTGTTGACCTGGCATCTGCACTTTACTCTAGTCAGACTACCACCCTGGGAGGTCACATCTTTCCTAAGGTCTTCCCAAGTTGTCTTAGGCTGGATGACTGCTTTAACTTTTACTTATTTCTCCTGCTCTAAAATTCACTTTATGGCATTATTTTAAGATATTTGGGGGGAGGTTGCGATTTGAGAGAGCCAGGTAATTTCCTGCCATATTCTACCATCTTCCCACAATTCCCTGGAAGTTTAATTTAAAAAATAAAGGAAAATCAGTAAAACAGTTTTTAAAGGCAGGCTGTATTCAGATTGTGGAAGGCTTTAAATACCAGGCTGAGGAATTTTATTTTATCTAAGAGAGAGTAGGGAGTCACTGAAGATTTTTCAGGCATGGGGATGACCATGGTCAGATTTGTATTTTAGGGATATCATTTTGACAGCTATGTGGAGATAAATTGAAGAGGTGAGAGAATAAAGGGTAACTAATTAGGAGACTGTTATGTATCTGGGTCCAGCCTATTGGCTGTTTCTTGCACTCAACCATCCATCTCCTGCCTCTGAGATTTTGCATAAGCCCTTATTGAATAGAGAGTAATATACACAGACCTGTGTTTTAGGAAGATTATTTTGAAAGATGTATAGAAAATAAATTGGAGAGGGGGAAGACTAGAAGCAGAAATACCAATTAAGAAGCTATTGCATACTTCCAAGTGAGAGGTCACGAGGGTCTGAGTAAGAGTGATGACTCTGTGAACGAAGATAAGGATGGAGAGAGATGATAGATATTAGGAAAGCAATAAACACATTACCATTATCATAGAATTTTAGATTTGGCCTCAGTGATCATTTACTTCAAAA